TAAGGGAGGCATCAGGATCTGTCCTGGCTGCCCCGCTTTGCCCTTCCTGAGCAGGGGAAGGCAGGCTGTGCCTGCACAGGAGGTTTGGGGCTCTCTGCCTGCCTGGGGAAATGGTAGGTGCTGCTGAAGGCATTATCAAGACAATCCCTGAGTCTGTCCTGAGTTCAGCCTGCGGTTCACCAGTGGATGGGAGGTTCTTGTTGAAGGTGCAGTTGATAAGGGTCTCCCTGAGGGCTTCTGACAACAGCATGTACACAAAGGAGAGGAGCATGGGAGAGCTCTGTGTGGTGGAGTTTGTGGTCTGCATGGCATCACGGCTGGGGCAGGGGCAGGTTGCTGCCTGTGTCCCCTCAGACTGTGCAGCTGTGAGTATCACAGCTTGTTCCCCGTAGGCTGGTCACCTCCAGGCTCTGTATCATGGTGGGCACAGGCTTGGTGCCATCTTCTCACAGCTTGGGGCACTGAGGTCCCCTCCAAGGGAGAACAGGGCAATAGTGGGCTGATTTGGGAACCTGGTGAGAGGTCCCTGAAGTTTTGAAAACAATAGTCGTCTGCTGCTCCCCAGCTCACTGAGTACCCTGAGACCTGGGCCACAGCAAGAGGTTTCAGGGCTGGTTCCCTGCAGGCAGCTCTGAGCACGAGTAGTGTGGGGAGGTCTGTGGGAGGAGAAGGGGATTCTTCTCCTGTGACAACCCCACCCTGCAGACAGTTCCATGCATGGTCCAAGCTTTCAGGGTGTCCCGCCTGGTCCCCTTGGGTGCTTTGTTGACTTCCTGGGGCAGGTTCCTAAGGCATGAAATAGCCCTGGCTTCTTAGATGATGCCACAAGGCACCAGGGTCAAATCCTGGTCCATCAGTCACTGTGCAAGCTTTGTGCATAGTATGAGCCCCTCGTGGGTGCCCCAGTCCCTTGAGCTCCAGGTCCTCCTGGCCTTTCCTGGAAGGTCTGGGGGAAGCAGCACAGGGCCCTTCTTGCCCTCATCCCCTTGCCGGTACATGGTGTAGGAGGACTACTCCCTGTGGTGTCCTAGAGCTCCATCTCTCACTATACTGCCAGGGAAAATGAACCTTTCTCCCAGGGTCTATGCAGAGCAGGAACGGGCTGGGTTTTTCTAAGAGCTGCATCTGTTGGACTGTAGAGATGCTGGGACTGACAGATACCACAGTTTTGACTTGGTGGAGAAAGTTGCCTTGAGCATTAGTAGTCCACACATTCACCCATATCCATTCCTGTCCAGACTCCTCGTGCTCCCCTACCAGAGAGCTGGAGTGACCAGTTTCAGCCTCTTGCTTTCCCTCCCACGCAGCTGGGTGGGGAGCAGAGCTGTCTGACCGCAGCACCTTTGCAAGGCTGGGAGGGGAAGGGAAGGAAGTGACCTTCTTGCAATGTTTCCTTCACAGAGGTCCTCCAGGTTGTCCCCGGGACCTTGGAGATTTCCAGCACCAGCATCAAACTGAACTGGACCTGCAGGCTCCCTGACGCCTGCCAACGCATGCGGGCCACGTGCCGTCTGGCAGGGCCTTCCTTCCCTCCCTGTGAGGCTGAAGAGGTGAAAGGAGAGGAGATGCTACATGGCCAGGATGGAACATTCACCTGTCCCCCTCTGCAGCCCTTCACTGACTACAGTGTCACCATCTCCCTGCCGCCCAGCACGATCCTTTTCACATGGTTGGTCAGGACACAGGAAACAGGTATATGCGCACAAGTATAGGAGAGAAGGGACAGTCCTGGGCTGTGTCACAGGTAGGGGAGGTGGACAAATGTCCCCTTCGACCAGCTCAACCTGATCATCCACTCCCTGCAGTGATGGTCCTGGGTTTGGTACTGCTTGGAGCCTGTGAGGCTCAATGGAAGGGGCTGTGCAGGGCCCTGGAGCACAGCACGTCCCCTCTTCACTCTTCCCTCCTCACCACACTGTTGCTGCTGCTGCAGCACATGCAGCCTTTGTAAGGGACAAACCCTGCTTGGGGGGTCCCTTTGCAGCGTGTCCCCTGGGCCAGAAGCTGCCTGCACCCTGCTCTGGGATCAGCCCCTCCTCGCCGGCCCCCTGCGTGACCCCGTCCTCCTGTGCTTCCAGTGCCGGACAAACCAGAGAAGCTGTAGCTGGATCCCAGCACGGGGTCCCTCCGGTGGAAGGCGCTGCCCTCCTGCAAAGGGGAGATCATCGGATACCAGGTACCAGGGGACCATGGATTCCCCGTGATCCCCCTCACCTTGCCAGGTGCCTCCTGGAGCTCTGAGGCAGGCGAGGATAGTGGGGAAGGGAAAGCTGTGATGACCTGCAGTTCCCAGACAGTCCAGGTGAATATCTGGCTGTGATGAGCATGAGCATTTTCTGTCTCACCCTTGACATTCCTCATGCTGTGTAGTTGCCCAGAGAGGTGGTGGAGGCTACCTCTCCTCTGGGCTTACTCCTCGGGTATGCTCAGCCTGGGGTTTGGCAGACTTTGTGGCTCAGTGTGCAGCACTTGGTGACGTGTCTGCTATGGTGGCCTCTCAGGGTTTCCTGTGCCTCTTGCGTGCTTGTTTCTGGTTCCTGCCACAGGGAAGCCTGTGGTTTGAGTCGTTCTCTGAAAAACCCTCTTCTTCTGGGATAGTTGCACCTTTCCTTTGAGTTTTCCTCTGTGCGTGGCTAGAAGCATCTCCTCTGTCTGTGGGTTTGGGGCTCTTCCCACAGTGCAGCCCTGCTTTCTAGCACTGAGGGGGAGTGAGACCCTTACCAGTGTTCCCTAAGCCCTCTCTAAGGACAGACCTCTCTGTGGGGTGACAGGGACCCAGACATGCTGGTTCTTCGTGCCCCTCTTAGCTCTTTCCTGGAGAAACTGGCAAACAGGGCCCTGATGGCATTGCTTGTGGGTCTGTTCCAGCTGGTTCCCTCCTCCCAGACACCTCTGTTTGTGAGAAGAGCCCTTTTTTCTGGTTTCAGTTAGCTCCTTTTTTGCATATTCCCAAGAGGCCATTTCCATAAAGACCCTGACAGCAGCGAGGATGGCCCGGGATCGCAGAAGAAATTCAGATTGGCAAATGGGCAGCCTCCATCTGTATCCCTTGTGGGAGCTCTGTCGTCCCCTTTCCATGTAGACAAAGCCTTCAGAGTCCAACCTTGCACAGGAGGAAAGAGAAGTTCAGGGCTCCTCTTGTGGGGGACATCACCACAGTGCCTGAGGTGTTGCAATACCATACCAGTGACCTGGCCTTGGGCTCATTACACCTCTTACATACACAACGTCAAAGGAACGGCCTACCTCTT